ACTTTAATCTTCCAACAGTCTTGTGAAGTCTAGTCTCTCTGCTGTGCTACTTATCCTTTCAATCAGTCATTCTACCCACAGGTGCTGACTCCTTGGGCTCCAGGCATTCTGCCGGGTGCTGGCAGAGCAGGGAACAAAACTGAGAAAGTATCTACACTCCTAGAGCTTATAGCCCAGTGGGAATGACAAAACATAAAAAAACAAACTAATAAAGATACAAGATCAGTACAAACTGTGATAAGCATTGCTCAAAAATAAACCAGAGGATGTGATAAAGAATCCCTGTGCCATGAGCAGGATGAAATAGATAGGGAAGGCCTCTCCAAGTAGATATTATGTGAGCTAAGACCTAAACTAGGGGAAAACCTAGCCATGCAAAGTTGGGAGATAAAATAGAAGGGAGAAGGACAGCCTGGAATTGAGAACATATTCAAGGAAGGAAAGAAAGGGAGTATGGTTGGCCTAAAAAGAGTGAGGAGAAAGAGGGGGCAGGCTGGAGGAAGAAGTCAGATGACTTAGAATCTTACAGAGCAAGATATAGACTTTGAATTTTTTCTTAAAACAATGGGAAACCATGGATTAATTTTAAGTAGTGGATTTGCCTACAACTAGTGTCTGGATTAAATGAGTTAATATGTAATGCATTTAGAAAAGTGCCTGGCATAGACAGCATTATAAAAGGATTCTTATTCTTATCCTTATTCTTATTACTAATGTTGGGTTGGAGAAGGGCCAAGAATGGAAGCAAATAAACCAGTTTGGAGGCTATTTCTGTAGTCATTGGGGCCCGAATCGGGGCGGGTGCTGTGAAATTGGAGAGAAGTGGCATGTGTATAACAAAATGTAAGTCAGGGGTACAGTCAACAGGACTTTCTGATGGCAGAGAAAGAAAGGCATGAAAGACTCCCTCTAGGTTTCTGTCATAAACAGTCAGATGACACATTACTCAAGCTGAGTGCAAAAGAAAACAAGTGGGGAGGAAAAGTCAAGAGTTCCATTACATTCTATTGAGTTTGAGATGCCTATCAGATGCCTATCTAAGTGGAGGTGTCAAATATGCTGTCATCCTCATTGCACAAAGAGGAAACCGAGGCTCCTTCACAAGGAGGAAGCAGAGATTTAGAGAGATGACCATCTGCTCTAAGTCAAACAGTTACTACAGTGGTTTTCAACCTGTGGGTCGCGACCCCTTTGGGGGTCGAACGACCCTTTCACAGGGGTCGCCTAAGACCATTGGAAAACACATATATAATTACATATTGTTTTTGTGATTAATCACTATGCTTTAATTATGTTCAATTTGTAACAATGAAAATACATCCTGCAAATCAGATATTCACATTACAATTCATAACAGTAGCAAAATTACAGTTATGAAGTAGCAACGAAAATAATCTTATGGTTGGGGGTCACCACAACATGAGGAACTCTATTAAAGGGTCGCGGTATTAGGAAGGTTGAGAACCACTGAGTTACTAAGAGGGAAAATCGAGCCTGGAACTCAGGCTAAGACCTCTTCAGAGATCTCATTCCCTCCTAGTTAAACTCCCTTAGAAGGGGTGTCAGGCTCCTTGTTGGTATAACAGAGTCAACTCTAGCATCTATCAGATGCCTACAGGGGCTAGAATCCCAGAAAGTCTAGAGCAGTGCTTGAGCCAGCAACAGAAGCCATGAAACACGCCCCAGTGCTCTGACACTTGGTGGTCAGATAATGTGTCTGGGCAAGAATGGTGCACATTTAAGGGATTAGCATTAACTTGCTGGCCCTTAGTTGCTGATCTACAAAAGAGGAACAGAAATCTAATACACACAGCTTCAGGTCTGTTATAGAGGATCACTTATAAAAAGAGAAACAGAGAATGGGAGTACATACTTTATAAACCAAGGGCTGGTGAGAGAGAGAAATGGGGAGTTATTGTTTCATGGACATGGAGTTTCAGTTTGGGATGATGAAAAAATTCTGGTGATGGTTGTCCAACAAGGAGAGTAAACTTAATGCCACTGAATTATACACTTTAAAATGGTTAGCATGGTAAATTTTATGTTATGTATATTTTACCACAATAAAAAATTACACTGGACATTTGCTTATGTTATGGAATAGAAGTTAGCTTAACACACTTTTATTCTGTTTATCTCCTAAGGAACTAGGCAATCGTCTATGTCACTTGTTATCTACTTATGCTTTGGATGGGAGAGAGGACTAGTTGTAACTTGGATGGGAAAGGTGCTGGAACCAAGACATAAGCTATAAATAAAGCCAAGACAGTTGTCTTTTTTAAAACTTGAGTTAGTGGCTACATTTCAAATTGCGTCTTATTTTATCTGAACAGGATCACATTCTGTAAGCAAGCATCTGTCTGCATTCGTTTATGATCCCCTCAGGGCCACGATATGCCTTTGCCTGTCTTTTCAGTGTTCTCTCGGTGCCTCACATATGAAAATATGATTCTATTATTGGGACAGTTGACTAGAGAAATCCAATGTAACTAGAGAGAGAAAGAACTAGAGGGCCCACCACCCAAAGCCTTGATGGAACAACTAGACATTCAAATGCTAAGGGCTATATGCAAATAAAGGTCAGATTAAATTAAATGTAGCTGCCCAGACTTTCAAAGCCAGTCAGCTTTCTTCTGATTCAGAGAACTTTCTTTTTTTCTCTCCTTAATTTTTAAAACAAAATTTTAATTTTGATAAAGTGCATATAACAAAAGTTACCATTTAATCATTTTAAATGGTACAGTTCAACAGTGTTAAGTAGGTACACATTGTTGTGCATGCAATCTCCAGAACTTTTTCATCTTGCAAAACTGGAATCCTATACCCTTCAAATAACTCTCCATTCCCCCCATCACCTGGGAACCATCATTTTACTTTCTGAATTCAATAACTCTGGGTACTTCCCATAAGTAAAACCCCACAGTATTTGGCTTTTTTACTTAGCATAATGTCCTCAAGGTTCATCCATGTTGTAGTATGTGTCAGAATCTCCTTCCTTTTTACAGCTGAATACTATCCCATTGTATGGACAGACCACATTTTGTTTATCTACTCATCTGTTTTGAAGACACTTGGGCTGTTTCCACCTGTTAGCTATTGTGAATAATGCTACTGTGAACATGGGTTTACAAATATCTCTTTGAGAGTGTGTTTTCAATTCTTGGGTATATACCCAGAAGTGGAATTACTGGATCAATATGATAATTCTACATTGCTTAAGTCACCCCAGATGGTAAGGTTTTTGGATGAGGTTCTGGTTGGTATTTACAGTCCCCATCAAAGTGTTGGCATTCAGTGGAGACTGACTGGAAGCCATGTTATCCACTCAATACATTTGACTGCATATTATAGCAATGCTTGTATCCTCAGGCCTCACTCGGGAATCTCTGGGGTGGGGCCCAAGGGCAAGCCTGCTCACCAGCTCTTTAGGAGATTCTCACGATCTCTAGACTTTAAGAACCGGGCTCTAGAGGGAGCACAGGCTCACTTACCTTAAGGATATTCTCTCAATCTCACCCCACAGTAAATATTCTATTTGTCAGAAGAGAATTCTGGCAAACCTGGAACTCAAGCCCAAGTCCATTAGCCTCCAAATCCCGCATCCTTTCTTCTGCCCACATGCCTTTGCTTGCCGTGAACACAAACACACAGCAAAGAGGGGATGTTTCATTTCCCCGGGGGCCTCCCTGCACACTGTGAATTGTGTTTCAAGTCTCCAAAGGGTCACCACCCTCCAGCATATCCTTGGCGACCATAGACACTTCAGTCTCTCCTTGGAGATTCTGAGATGCACAATTAAAAACAGGAATGACAGCAGCTCATTTACCTAAAGGTCAACTTTTTGCTTATGATAATTTTTGTGTGTGTGTTTTTTTAAGCAAAGAGAATACAACTTGCAAACAAATCAGCCCTTTATCTGAGCCTTTGCAGGTCTGTCCATTCCCTGCAGGCTCTGGCAGATGCCCGTCTATCAGTGACATTGGAGGATGGCCCATGTGCTGCCCAATCCCCCGCACCCGAGGCAGCCCTGGGTCCTGCAGGCCTATTCACTTTGTGCAGTGGAGGGGACACGGTTCCCGGGGTTAAGAGCTGGCAGTGGGGCACGCAGAAGCCCAGCCACCCCCGCCAGGGACAGACATTCAGAGCTCATGTGGGTCTCTTTTGTGCGGTGGGTGAGGCTTCCCACTATGGGTTCCGGTGACTTGGAATGCCAAGGGCCTAAACTTAATTAACTTCTCCAGGGCCGGGATGCTTCCCTCTCAGCCCTCATCCTGCTTCGTGGGGCGGCGGGACGAAAGTGCTCCCTGCACAAACAGAAGGCCAGGGACCTTAGTGGGAGCGTTGGCAAATACAACAGGGCCAGTGGCATCCTCATTAAACTCTGATTAGCAAGGAGACTTGATCCAGGCCAAATCAGAGCTGAATGAGATTTCTTTCTTCTTCTTTTTCTGCTGCCAGTTGATCAGATGTGGGCAATTAAGAACCCCCACACCTCCAGCCCTTGTATTTTTTTTGAAGCAGGGAGCTCATACCAGTCAAGCCATAAAGACACCATTGTCCTTAGAACAATATTCCCCACTAATCTCACTTCTGGCAATTTACTTTTTCTTCCCAAGCAGATTTAGAAACTTAAAAAAAAAAATCCTTGAAAGAGTACGCGGGGAGGGGGGGGTACGGGAGGAATACTCCATGGTATCTAATCCCATCGCAAAGTGGGAGTTTTCTTGTTCCATTCAGCTTTTCTTTGAATGAGCCCTGGATAAATAAACTTCTAGTGCATCGGCCACATTGATGCGGAGACCGTGAGGGTCCAATTATGCATATGGGGGCGTGTGCATTCTGGTTTGCAAATCAAACACAAAGAGGGCAGCACAGGCGCTCCCTTGTAATCAGCTCTCACTACAAATTTACAAACCTGCGAGGTGAGATTGCCTTTTGTTAAGTGTTTAAAAGCAATTATTACCTTTCTTTAATTTTCTGGTGGTAATTAGGCTCCTGAATCCAGTCCAACCTGGTCTGTGCCCGGAGGCCTGCTCGCTGCTCCCTGTGTCTGTGTGGAGAGGTGAGGGATCTTTGGAGCCAGCCTCGCAGGAACTCCTGAGAACTGCACAACTTTTCCAGCCAGACGGCCAAGAAGTCTGACAGGCAGACGCTGAGAAGCTGTGTCCTATTTGCCTGTAAAGAGAGAAGATAAAAGACAACAGAGAAGATGAGAGGAGTAAAGGGAGGGTGAAACACGGAAAGCCAGAAACTAAGGTCAGAGAGGGGGGAAGGGGGAAAAGGCAACAGACATTTGAGACAGAAGAAAAGACAGTGAGGATCATCTAAAATGAATTGAAAAAGGGGAGGTCAGCTCACTGTTGTTACTGTGTTTGAACTTTTATATTCACAAGATTCCTATTAATGAGCTCAGAGCCTCTAGGCACATATGCCTCAATGCATTGCAACTCTTGGCAATGAATGAAGAAGCTAAGAGTCTCTGAAAAGAAAAACCAAAGGGGAAAGAAAGCAAGAGAATCCAAAAGCCCTGGAAAATAGCTTACCTAAAAGCTACCCCTTTCACCAAGCCCCAAAGGTCAACCAACTTGGCAGGCAAGAGAGACCCAGGAAAGACTTGGCAACAGCTCTAGCCGCTCAGACCCTCCGTGGAGGCTGGACCAGAAATTCCACCGCTCATCTCATGTTCTGACAGTGCAGAGCACAGCACCGTTCCTGGGGCCGGAATCCATCGCTGGGGAGGCCAAAGGTGACATCTCCCGTGCCTCTTATAAGGACCAACATTCTTCCATCATGGAGCTACTAAGAATTAGAATGATTGTGCCTATCTGGGGGTGAGGATGGAGTCAATTGTCCGGGCAGGCCAGAGAACTAGGCTGGAAGTCAGAGGCAATCGGTGTGACTGTAGACGCAGCCAGAGTAGAGAGGAAGCAAGGTGTGCGCCTCACCAGTGTCCAGGGAAATCCAGGACAGAGGGGCAGTCCCTAGGCTCTGAGCAACCAAGAGGTGGGAGTTATCAGCTGCTCCGTGGATGCAAACTGTGTCTTTTCTCATCAGGTGCATCAGCCTCTCCCCAGCTGGAGGTAAGGAACCTCTCCCTTTCACAGTGTAGGTTTCTGAATCACTGAGGCCTGGGTTCAGATCCTGCCTAGGTACCTACCTGCTATGTGATGCTGGTAAAACTCCTTACTCTCTATGAGCCCTAGTTTTCCTCACCTGTAGAGTGAAGGGAATCCCTCTCCTGGAGAGGATTAAATTAAGTATGTAAATCACTTAACACAAGCCTGTGATAGACACTCGACAAATAATGGAAAATTAGTCTCATAAATGATTAATTCTTGTTGATTATCTTTAGGAAACTGGGTTAAAAAAGAAAAGCAAGTACTATTTCCAAGAAAAATAGCAATCTCTTTGAGAAAATAGATTGAATATATTGAAAGCATTTCTGTAATATGCAGTCAAATGTATTGAGTGGCAATAACATGGCTCCCACTCAGTCTCCACTGAGTATCAACGATTTGATAGGGGCTGTAAATACCAACAAGCGGCTCTTCCTAAAACCTTGCCGTCTGGGGTGACTTAAGTGATGTAGCTAGAAGCCCGCATGTGATAAGAGGCAAAGGAGTTGAACAAAGAAATGCAGGAGCAGTGAGGAAGGAGAGATTAGTTCCAGATAGGAGGATTAGGAGAGGCTTTCGGTTGGAGCTGGCATTCAACCAAGCCTTGAAGATAGGTAGAAAGAAGAAGAAAGGGCATTCTGGGAGGAGGGACCTGGCTGAATGCAGGAAAGGCAGGATGTGCCTGGGAAACGGTGAGCGGTGCCGCCTGCTGGGAGCGAGGCTGTGTGGATGAGTTAGTGACAGGGGAGATCATTTGCCGTGACGGGTTGGAGCTTTTATTTTGTCGGCGGTGGATAGGATGGAATTGTTGGACGAGTGTCGCTCCAGGAGCGCATGTGCGGATGGGAAGTGGGGAGAGACCAAAGGCCAGACCAGCAGGGGCTTTTGCAGCAAGAGAACGGACAATGGCCTAAAGCAGGGCAGTGGGGACGCACAGGAGGGTGTGGCTGTGGACACATGGGGACTGTCAGCGAGAGGACTTGCCACGTGTTGAATGAGAGGGGCAAGGAGAGGAAAGAGTAGTGGAGAATGTTGGAATCTGAGGCTGAATCATCAGAAGAGCTGGGAGACCATAACCACTGAGAGAGGAAGGGCCTTGGGAAGGCCGATAGTGATACTGGGACCTCCTAACGTATGAGATGACAGCATTTCAGCCAGTCACTTGTCAGGTGCTGCTGTTACATATATGGCTTGAATCTCACATCAGAAATTAAGCCAGAAACCTATCTGGAGAACTGGATTATTCGGGGTCAATTAAGGGAAACAGAAACATGCCCAGGTCTCCTACAAGGGGAATTAAATACAGGAAGTTAACAAAGAGATGATGGAAGTGCTGAGAAGCCAATCAGGAGGTGCTAAGGAAACCAGGACGCTGAGACCTCCCCTGAGGCTGAAGGGACAGTGAGTGGAGGAGGAGTCACCAAAGCCCAAAAGCTTAAGCCATCTCACAGGAGCTTTTGGGGAGCTGGACACAGAGCAAGAGGCTATTTAGCGGGAAATGGAATCACAGAGGAGAACGAGGCGATGCAGGGACCCTGTACACAGCAAAAGGGGCTCCTCCCATTCTTCTTCCAAGTGTGAGGAGCGAGCGGGCTACTGAGCAAGAATGGGTGTCTTGGGGTGATAGAAAAAAACAGGTGTGATGGTACCTTGGCGAAAAGATGGAGAAGAGAGTACCACAGTCAGGACCTAGAGCAGTGATGGTGAACCTATGACACACGTGTCAGAGGTGACATGCGAACTCATTTTTTTGGTTGATTTTTCTTTGTTAAATGGCATTTCAATATATAAAATAAATATCAAACATATAAATATTTGTTTTACTATGGTTGCAAATATCAAAAAACTTCTATATGTGACACGGCACCAGAGTTAAGTTAGGGCTTTTCAAAATGCTGACACGCTGAGCTCAAAAGGTTCGCCATCACTGACCTAGAGGAACCGCCAGTAGCATCCCAGAACTGGAGGAAACTTAGGAAGAGGTAGAGAGCAAAAGCCTGCATGTTCTTGACCTCCCTGCCCCACAGGGCCAATGGCAGGTCGGGGAGAGAAAAGGTGCCTGCAGACCTGCCCTCCACTGTGCACCTTGGCAATGCAGTGCCCAGCGCAGTTATTTTCAGCCCAGAAGCCACACTGTCCCTCTGAGTTCCTGACTACAACACAGGAGCACCGATTTGCTGTGCTTCCCACCTCTGCCATGTTAGGGGAAGGACTTCTTTTGTAAAACCCTGTGAATGGTTCTTTTACCGGCATTTCCCGAGCGTGGAAGTGTTAGCGAAGGGATTCGCAGAGTTCATTAACTCCCGCCACCCCCGCCCTCCTGTTTGCCCAGCTCATTCAAACACATAAATGCCACTACAAACAACCACTAAATCTACAGAGGCTTGTCTGGCTGTCACACAGCCATAAAAACAATGTGCCCTCAGGCAGGGGAGGGGAAGTGAGGATGGCAAAGCACACACTAATTTTCAACAATCCCTCTTTAGAGACGTAATCTTCAAATAAATATTTAACTTGCTCTGTCTTCGGTCTTAGATTATTTACAAATCAGGCTTTAAAATGATCCTTCCCTGAGCTATTTGCACACCTAGAGTTGCCCGGGAGTAGGAATGAGCCTTCCTGGATGCTGGAGGCTGCCTCCCATGCGACCATACACACTGGCTGCAGGCAGCTTGTGTCCCATCAGGTCCCAGTGCCCTTCTGTCATTGTGAAGAGGGGACACTGGCAAGCCTGCCACCTCCAGAAGGTTACCATTCAGAGAAGTGGGAGACAGCATTCCTAGCTCATGGTCATTCAAAACCCCAAGATTTAGAGGAGAATGAGGCAAAACGTATATCCCCTGGGACTGCAGAGATGGCAAAGAAACTTGCTGTGAAAGAAGTTGGGGTGCTGGCTCCTGGGCAACCAAAGAAAAGTCTGAGTTTGGAACTGGAGGTAGAGATAAAGGGTATTATGGAGCCTTCAAACTCGAGGATGTACATTTTCTAAGAATACTTGAAAATCCCAAGAGGTTAATAGGTGGTCCAAGGAAGAAAGGGATTTGTGGTAACATAAGTGTGTATTCCTCCTGTTGGAGACACATGAACAAGGGTTGGCAAACTTTTTCTCAAAGGGCCAGATTGCAAATGTTTTCTGCTTTGTGGGCCATCTGGTCTCTGTCATAGCTTCTCACCTCCACCATTTGAGGCAAAGCAACCACGGAAAACTTGCAAAGGAATGGGCATGGCTCTGTTCCAATAAAACTTTATTGACAAAATGGGTGGCAGGTCAGATTTGGCCTATGGGCCACAGTTTCCAACTCTTTCACTAGAACAGTGGTTCTCAACCTTCCTAATGCCGCGACCCTTTAATATAGTTCCTCATGTTGTGGTGACCCCCAACCATAAAATTATTTTCGTTGCTACTTCATAACTGTAATTTTGCTACTATAAACAATATGTAATTATATATGTGTTTTCCGATGGTCTTAGGCGACCCCTGTGAAAGGGTCATTCGACCTCCAAAGGGGTCGTGACCCACAGGTTGAGAACCGCTGCACTAGAAGGTTTAAAAGCTCTGAGAAGTCCTGCACTTAAGGATAGTCAATTTCATCTAGTCCATTTTTTCCTCACACATCTTTGACCACAAAACCCTTCTGTATCCCCACATGTCTGTTGACATCAGTGATAATCCAGTGTTCCACTGAACAATTTCGGAAGTAATGTCCTGGGAAGTGCGCTAGGAAAGAAAACACGACCCGCAAAAAGTCATAACACCTTGGCAATCTATATATACAACGTGAAAGCAAAAGCTCTGGTCACTTCAGGAAAAAGTCATTCTCCACTTCTAGATGGGCAAAAAAATAAGCAGCAGCAGGAACCAAGGGAAACTTCAGTGCAAACCAGAAGTCTGTCCCAAGGAGGCCATGGCACCAGCTGGGCATCAGGAAAAGATAGGCTCAAAGGGCCCTAGAATCCCAGATTACCAGGTGGAGGCTTACAGCAAACATGATTCTGATTGTCTCTCAAGCTCATGATGATCCTCAAGGCTGCTCAAAGAAAAATGTGTTCATCTGCTAG